ATTTGCTTCTCCCTCTTCTCTTTGTCCCTCTGATTGTTACTCAGATCAGTGAGTGTGCAAAATATATGTATTTGAAATCCATTGTTGTATTTGACTTATTTAATTCCATTATTCACTAACACGGATTAAGTCAATTATTACATAGGAGGATTAATGATGCATATATTTCAATAACATCCATACGATTCAATTGGAGTCAGATATAGGGTCACAAAATACTAACAAATTTTTTTATAATACAACAATGGATTTCAAATACATATATTTTGCACACTCACTGATCTGAGTAACAATCAGAGGGACAAAGAGAAGAGGGAGAAGCAAATCGACACGCGGTGGATAAGGCGTGTCAGCCAACTCTCATTTAATCAAGCGTTAATCAGATCTAGTCACATAAAAATAAGCTACAGATATGTGGTCAATAGGATAAGAAGTGTACACATATACGCTCATATAAAAACAGTCAAGATTGATAGGTGAATAATTAACAAGCTGAAAACGCGACTCAAGGAGAATGAATAAATTAGTTTGTCCAGAATCTAGAATAAGGCATATGGGCTTAACATAGCAACTGACACTACATAGTATTTAACACCAATTTATCAATAACTTACTGTGTGAATACATGTTTATAATATCATACAATTAAGTATTAATAACTAACAAATATAATTAATTTAGTAAGTTATGTGATTATTCCTCAAAACGTGACTACATGTCTCATGTCTGGTAATTAATAGTCAGTTTCATATGACATTCAGATCCGAATTGATTAAATAATTGCTCACCATGTTTCTGACGTTACCATGCTTATGTTCAACGCTTTTTTTAAAAGTCATATCATAAGTAACTTTTTGTTTGTAAATGAATATAACGACAGATATTCCGTCTAACATGTAATCGAATTGGAAAATAGACATTGAGATCTACAGATTATTATTAATGTTGGGTTTTATTAGATCTTAGATTTTTTTTAAAATATGGACTTTGTATGGTGGACTAAATTTAATTTAGTGAAGCTAGAATTTATGAAGAGCAAATGTAAATGATGAAATTAACTTTCTTTGGAGCTAACCACCTACAAACGGAAACTTCAATATTGATTGCAATGATGAATAACTTAAAACTAATCTTATACACATTGGCAATAAGAAATGTTGAATTTTAATTAACATAGCCAGTAATATTTCATCAATTCATAACCTGGAACACAGATTTCTTTCATAAGTTTTAACACGCGAAAGTCACTTTTATGTAGAATAAAAGCCTGTTACATAACGTTAGAAAGGGAATTCAAATACAGCAGATCACGTTTTGGCAAAAATGGTTGTTGTGTGGGCGAGGATGATCATGATTGGTTGTCTGCTTAGTCAGACATGTAGACAGTCTGACAGGTGTCAGATAAGTTATATATTCCCTTACCCTTATTATTGTGACTCACTCATATACATATATACTTATTATTGATTGTTCATTGTTGTGGATTGTGTCGGCTTTGGGTGTGAAAATATATTACGTTCTGGTCAGGCTGATTACGTGTTCTTGATCTGAGTTGTGTTGAAGTCCTGTAGAATAGACACTGGGAGGGATCTAGTGTAGATAATCGTTTAAGCGTTATAACATTACACAAGATATACGACAGCATGTTTTGAAGAAGTTAGTTACCAATTTTGTATACAAAGAAATGAGTTTCTCAACTTGGTTTGAATCCCTAGTTCTCATATTACTTACAACAATTAACTACTTTACATCAGCAAACCAGTGGATTTATACAAAACCAATTTAAATAACAAACCCAGTAAAATTCATCCGAAATCCATTAAATCAAACTGAAACCCGACTGAGTATATTGGTTTATCATAACAAACCATTTAGGTCTGTGTCATTATGATGTGATATGTCTGGAAATAACGTGCTAAATTTAAATAAAAAATAGTTAGCGCAGAGTTATAACTGGTCGATTTCAACCACGATGTGGGTGAGTACCTACCGAAACGCTTGAAGCTGAAAATGTGAACCACTGGACCAAAACTCAGTGTTCTAAGATTAAAGTTTCCCCTGAAAGAGCAGAAAATGTCAGGATTCAATTCCTATGTGGGGTGACCGGTGCACAATGCTAAAAATCTTAGCGTTATGAGGAACAACTGTCCATTACTTCTAACTTTTCGGTATCAGCCCGCGACAAAAATGTCTACGAACTTATCTATTCCTGAAGAAACCCTGAATTATGATCAGAAGGTATCCCTATTAATTTAAAAGCAGACTGAGCAAAACACATCAGAACTTGTTGTAACTAAATAATGATTTATATGACTCATTCCAAATGAGAAGGCAAAGACGAAAAATAAATATATTGCACCAAGAATGAATCAAACAATACATCCGAATAAATTGTATTTCATGCAACTTCTTTACACAGATCAATAGTCGAGTTTGATTACATTGAACAGAGCAGCACCCGATATTTGGTATGTCAGTACCTTAGTGTACATACATGGTACACAAGATCGTAAGACTAAATTACTGCAACCAACGAATCTAAATTTGTTACTTTCTAACACCTAGACACAATTCCAACTGTGAGTTTATAGAAACTTGTGTCTACTTTTCTTACCTGTCTATTACAAAGTTACTTTGTACGAGCATTCGTAGCACTCATGTATTTTCAAAATAGTCTTAATTAATAACTTCCGCGTGCATTGCCTTCATGATTTGAGTTGAAAAAAAAGGGTCTACTGGATTATGTACAGCAAAATCTATCATAAAGACTGTAATGTAAGCTTCCTCATAATCAATCCTGCGAAGTCCAACTATTTCAGTGATGTCAAGCAGTCGTAAACTATTAGCAGGAAGCCTGAGGACTACGTCTTAGTACTCGTAGGAAATAGCCGACACACCGTGTCTACATTTCCAGGAAAAAATTGCTACGAAGGTATGATCATTGAGTTATTCGGGTTGTGACTGACCTGACGTAAGATTAAGATAATACATGATGACTGACCGCTGAATAATATTAATGTTGTTTACCTACCAAGCTGCAAAGTCATCGAGAGGGCTTTACTAACACTGAAAACAAATAACACTGGTTACTTCCCAATGACCGATCAGTGTATCAATGTTTGAAATCCTCAGGTACATAAAAAACTCGACTCAGGAAACATGGATTGGAAACTTCCCAGAAAGTCACAATGTCATGAATGACCACACATTTTCTAAATTCCTGAGATACTTCTTTAAAATCAAGAGTATGTTTTTTACTCATAAATACCACTGGGAAACATCCAGGTTTTGCGATAGATTTCAGATAACTCCATTTCCTTTTTACCGTCCTAGATGGAACAGATTGACGGACGGTTTCGGTGTAGTTTGTTTAAAATATTTTGATCGTAATAACCAATGCCCTAAAGTGCTGCTAAATTCAACTTTCATAGCATAGCGTGCAGAAATCCTATTAAGTAGACAACAAGAACCAAGAAGTTACTAGTATGCTAACTGGGAAAATGCACATGTATACTTCTTGCGAAGTGTTGGACTGTTAAATGCAAATAATACTGACCAGTAACACTAGTTTACCAACAGATAACCTGATTTCAGGCAGGTAGTTTCCGTGAATACAGTTCAAAGTATTGGTAACTTGTGACTGGAAACCTTATGTGATACGAACCAAATTCGTCTTAAGTTTGAGAAATATCATTCTTTACATAACCATCTCCTACAAATTCATGTCCTTTCTAAATAAGGAAACATCGATTATGTTGGTTCCTTTTCGAATGTGAAGGATAGTGGTGACTTAAACTGACAAAAATTCGCACGCGCTCAGATGTTCTTCACTATTTCTTCTTCGTGGCTATCTCTTAATCACGAAGAGAACCAAGGGCGTTGTTGAAAATAAATTACTTTCTTAATTTTTTTTTCATTTCACATTAAGTGGTACTGATGGTGCAGGTCATCAAATATTATTTGTGTTCTAAAATTCTGGATCCTCAACCAGGAAAAGCCGATTACCTCAGCAACGAAGTACGGCTATACACAAATCAAACGTGACATTCTGGCTAAGGAAAACTAACTAAAGCTCCATAAAATCAAACAGTAAAATGTCATTTAGGAGCTATCGGCTTCCCCTGTGATGCCCCTATCCACTGGTCTGAAGTAAGTCTTCTTAGATCCATTTACTAAGCGCTTAGGTTTGAACAGTTTGATAGTATCACTGGACTTCGAATAAAAGTGTCTCTATCCCTAAAACAATCATATTAGAAGAATTATTGTGTAATCACCGGGCTGGAGTAAAATTGTCAAGAATTCTGAGCTGCATCTTACTAACCACAATACGAACCCCATTTAATGTATGTGGATATTCATCTGCTCTAGTGACGAAATCTTAATTAAGAATGGAATATCTCTAGCATCCCTTAGTTTTCAATTATTTTACGACTACATATATCTCTAAACTATTCACTCTCACAAACAGTAGATTACATTCGAGAGAAACGTCTAATGTTATTAATGTGCTAGCTTTCTTGCCTTACCAGAGCACTTTTAACACTTGTCGGGACCGATTCGATTCCGTCAATTTTTTACGTTCGATTCAACCTGTTGAACTAAATATAGCGACTACAGAACAAACACACCTGTAAGCTACAGTAATGGACATTATTCAACTTCACCGTTTGATAGAAAACCTGTTTACATATCTCTAATATTTTCTGAAGCTACGAAATCCTTTAGAAGCTCTGACCTGTGTATAAATAAAGCGCTAACATTGCGAACGTCTATAGTAAGCCGTTTCCCGGGTCACTACAGTGAAGCCGTTTGAATCTACTAGAAATACTCGAATAAGGTATGGTCAAACCTGCGGAGAAATTATAAGCCTTTCGTGACAGCGGTCACGTACAAAAAAGGTTACTCCGGATTACATAATTTGACGTGAGAATCGGAGCATATTAACTTATTTACCAAAAATTATCCTACATGTGGGAGGTAAATGTTCATAACAAACTAACTACTTTAAGTCCAGTTGTGTATTTCCCAGTGTTGTCTTAGCATGTAAAAAATTATTTTGGTTTAAGACTCGTGATTTCTCTTATGTGGGTTTTATAAGCATAGTAGTAATACATTAATAATACAATTATAACGTTGTACTACTTACAATCGAAGGATTCTGTTTATTGATGTGGCTGTGTGAGTTCCTAAAGGTCTACTATTGTAAACAGTAAAAAAGTATTGAGCATTAGCTTACTTAGTACACAATGTTAGAGACAATAAAGAATGAATAAAGCTACATGACTAGTTGCAGAGCACAAAGATAAATTTGCAAAAGGATTAAAACGAAAGCGAATGGAGTACCAGAATCACACTATAGTATCTAATAACGTCACGCCCAATTAGTAAGTAGCTCAAAACCTTTTAGACCTATCATCACCACATGACAATCGAAAACAAAGTCACTCATGCGTCAAAGTGAATATAGGTACAAACGTACCTAGTAATATAAACATCTATAGAAAGTAGTGTATATACATAAGTATTTCGCAGCAGTAACTCTGTGACATATTATTTAACGATTTCCAACAAAGAACTTAACACGCAGTTTGTTTGCTAGGGTTAACAGTTATGCATGCATAGGGACTTGGCCAGATTCTGTCTTGTTGGTAGCAGTTGATGTTTGTTGTTGCATATCAGTGCGTGAACGCCGAAACAGAATGATATGTGGTTCTGGTTCATGGATCATATAATGCACCCAACCAGCTGACTGTTGAATTCCCAACTTTCGCCACTCCATTTCGGACATAAGGTGATTTTTAGGTACCTGTTTCGCCAAATCTTTCGGTAGGTGGACGTGTCTATAATTTTAAATAAGCAATTGTTTGTTCATTTTAGGCTTACCTGTATTCATAGATGTCATCATAGTACTTTTCAGAGTAATATATATTCCGATTCATCTTAAAAAAAAATTGAAAATGCGCGATAACCCCCCCCCCAACTTTCAAATGCAAATCTGTAGTCGACGAATCCAGTTAAGAGGTGACCTATAGAATATGATCTAAACGTTTCAGTGTCAAGTTTTTGCCAGCAAGTGAACAGACTTTGGGCATAGAGAATTTGTCTTTGAAACTTATGAGTCTTGCATGAATAAGGCATTCTTCCGGTATGGACAAGTTTTTTTAAGGGAGGCTTTCTATAGTGTGAGTATAGTCATTCATTTATGTTCAGTGAGGGTGCAGCAGTTAGCATATTCAAGCATCTTGTCATACACCTTTTATGCCCTGACCATATGTAAGTGTAATTTTTGCCATGAGATTCATTTTAATCATTTAAATGTATCAATGTACGTCTTCTGTGAACATGCTATCGTAGAGCGCCCGGACTTGCTGAATAAAAATCGTTCTCAAATATGCAGCACTCACCCACTAAATGAACAGAAAAATGGTAGATATTGCAAACATATGTGATAATCAGAGACAGAAACATTACAAACTGACAGACAGCCTACCGCGAATCAGTGCAGACTGCCATATACTCGTTACCGCACCAGCCATGTATATCGCCTCCAGAAAATGTGATCATTTCTCTTTTTACTTAGTGAATGAGTTTTACACATGACAGCGTAAGTTCCGTTAAAAAATTATTACAGTTCCGACTTTTGCCATATTTATATTTTTATAATCGGTGTCCGGCTTCTCTAATCTGGACACGTTCACAGCAGGCTAAAGTGATATTTCTGGTTGACATCGTGAATCGATTGGTGTTAGACCACCGTTGGAAATCCAGAAGCACTTGACAGCCGTTTCGTCCTATTTTGGGGCTCCTCGGTAGTACACATCCAGCTGCGCAACTTCGTGGATTGGTTGAGGTTAGACATGAACACCGTTGGATGCCGACTCAGTGGTCTAGAGGTTATGCGTTCGCGCGCGAGGCTGAAGACGCTGGGTTCGAATCCCGCAAGTGGGATCGCGGAAGCTCACTTTTGAGGGTCCCACAATTTGACGAAACGGCTATCCAGTGCTTCCATGTTTCCAACGGTGGTCTAGCATCAATCGGTTCATGATGTCAATCAAAAACTTAATAATCCCTAGAATCCTAGACTGATAAGTGATATTTCACTTGTTCGAATCTCTAGGTTGGTAATGATTACTGCTTAGTGAACCTTTAGCGGAAGCCTTGCTGAAAAAATATTCGAAACTACGTTTAGTTTTGTTGGTTTTTGCCTCGATCCATGTATTTATCCATCAGTGACTGGAATCATCATTCTTGAAATCATCCCTTTCTTCGTTCGCAGGTAAATCTTAATAGCCTATAATTTAAATGGTCCATGGGCTTTATTATATAGGGTTGTATAGGAGGCAAATATCTTTCAATAGTATACTTGCCTTTCGCATCGCTAAATTTATTCACTATTATAATGGTTAACATTTATTAAATCAACATCATATTTTGGCTAATCCGCTAAACGACATATTATGCTACTGACCAATAATAGCACGCCACGTTGATATTCTAGAAAGCTCCAACATGCTCTGATTGGCTAAGACTCTTTGGCTCCTTCAGGGCCTCCGGAGGCTCTGTTGCAGTTCTCGGAAAGCCAACTTAACACCTCCCTCGAATATGATTTCTTTCTAGGATCTACTTGTAGCTTGACAACTGGGGTGCGGTGGCTTCTCACTATTCTTGTCGTCTTCCTTGTCCGAGGCTTCTTTTCAGTGTCATTGGTCATATGTAGCGTTGGTGTGTCCAAGATTAACTCTAACGGAAAATTCGGCTGGTTATTTCGAGTCTGCATCGTTCTTTTGTCCTTATGGATTTGATTCGTATGTCGTATACATGTTCAAAAGTCCCTCTGACTCTGAACAGAACTTTTCCCAATTTTCGTACAACTTTTCCCGGCTCCCGTCGGTTCTTCCCGATGTAAGATTTAATAAAAACTTCGTCGCCAACATTAAAGTTCCGCATATTATGATTTTGATTGTGCCCGTACACTAATTTGGATGGCAACATGGCGTTGAAAACGGTTCGAATACGCCTTTCGAACATGGCTTCGGCAAGAGACTTACCATCTGTAGCATTTGGGTTTGGAGTGGTTCAGTAGGATGTTAAAAATTTTGTTATTACCTGTCAAGTTGTCCCTTTGCCTCCCCCTTTCAATAATGCTCGTTTAAAGGTGTCCACAAAGCGTTCTGCTTGTCCGTTCGATTGCGGATGATAGGGCGGAGAACGAAGATGAGTTATTCCATTAGCGCTACAGAAATACTTAAACGATTCTGCGATGAATTGCGAGCCATTATCAGTTACTAAGGTCTCTGGAACTCCGAAGCAGCTAAACAAGGTAGACAACTTGTGGATTGTTTCTGACGTTGTACAATTTGGCATGGTATATACTTCTGGCCACTTAGTAAATGCATCTACGATAATTAGACACATTTTTCCATAGATTGGACCGGCAAAATCTGCGTGAAGTCTTACCCAGGGTCCTGCAGGCGTTAGCCAATTCTGAGGTTTTCATTTCAAAGGATTTTTAGCAGTTTGAATGCATAATGGACAGTTCCGGAATTTATTCTCGATATCTTTGTCCATTGACGGCCAATAAGCATAACTACGAGCCAACGATTTCATTTTATTGATTCCTTGATGGCCACTGTGAAACTGCTTGAGAACCTTGTTGACGTAATAACTTCGGAATAACAATTCGATCACCAAACATAATACACGAGTCGACAATCATTAGTGAGTCCCATCGACGAAAATATTGCAAACGTTCTCCATCAAGGCGATTGTTTGGCCATTTGGTCGCAAGATGGCATTTAACTGTGCTCAATGTCTTGTCACTTTCAGTGATCTTCTTGATAGTTTCAAAGGTTAATGGGATTCCATCGATTGCGTCATCCAATACGCGATGAACTTCTTTCTCGGCTTTTACATTTTCTACAGGTGTCTCCTCTGGGGTTTTTGATTGAGAGCCTATTAATCTTGACAACACGTCAACTTGCCCGAAATCGGTAGTTGACTGATACTTGATCTTGAAGTCGTAACCCAGAAGTGTGGTTGCCCAACGTTGGATTCGGTTAGCCGTATGAACAGGAATTCCTTTCTTCGACCCAAAAACTGCAAGCAGTGGCTTATAGTCTGTTATTAGGGTAGGATGTCGACCATATAACATCTTGTGGAGTTTTTTACTGCAAAGATAATTGATAGGGCTTCCTTCTCAATTTGACTATAGTTCCTTTCGGTAGTTGTCAAAGATCTAGCAGCGTGGGAGATAGCTTTTTCGGACCCACTAGGAAAAATGTGAGAGATGACTGCGCCCACACCATAGTTAGAAGCATCTGAAGCAACGACTATTGGTAGCGAAGGATCATAATGTGTCAGCAAGAGATTGGAAGTTAGGAGTTGCTTGATTTTCTCGAAAGATGCTTGGCAGTCCGCCGACCAATTCCATCTTATATTCTTTTCTAGTAAATTGTTAAGTGGAGCACGTAGACGGTGAAGATGGGGGGGAAGGTACCATAATGGCTTACCAGTCCCAAGAACGACCGTAGGGTAGGAATGTCCCTAGGTCTAGGCATTGTTCTCACAGCTTCAATGTTCTCTGGATCTGGTCATCTTCCGTCTTTATCTATTATGAACCCCAGGTTTGTACTTGCTGCATGTAGAAGTCACAGTTCTCCGCTCGGAGGAGGAAACCATAATCGGCGACGCGTTCTAGTACTTGGTCTAGTTTCTTCTGCAGGTCCATTTTGTCTGCTGCCATAACCATGATGTCGTCTAAATAAGCTGCTGCCCCTGGAATACCTTGTAACATGGTAGCCATATTATGCTGGAAAATAGAGGGGGCCGTCTTCACTCCAAACGGTAGTCGGTTATATCGGAACAGACCTTTGTGCGTGTTGATCGTCAGGAGATCTTTGCTTTCATCAGATACCGGGATTTGTAGATACGCGTCTGATAAGTCCAATTTCGCAAAATATCTGCCACCGTTCAGCTTATCGAAAAGATCTTCCGGTAAAGGTAAAGGATACTGGTGAGACTCTAGAGCTTCATTTAATCCGGTAGAGTAGTCTGCACATAGACGGACGATTCCATTCTACTTCTTGACAACCACTATTAGTGCAGCCCAGTTTGAGAAGTTCACGGGTTCGATAACACCCATTTCCTGAAGTCGTTGTAATTCTTGTTCAACTATTGGAAGAGCAGCATGTTACAGGTCTTTTAGGTCTAAAGACGGGAGTAGCTGCAGGTATTAGGGTTAACAGTGCTTTTGCCTTCGTACATTTTCCCAATCCTTCGTTAAACACGTTGTAGTGTCCTTGTAGCACGGCATTTTTCTGGTTCCACTCTAGGGTGTTGTTAGCTCTGATTCACATGCAGATGCTGTTAATAGAACGGTCTGCTAGTTTAAGTGTCTCTATAAGATCTAACCCGAGTAAGTCGAGTGCCGTCTTCTTTGTAAGATATACTGTTGTAACAGCTTAGGTCGGTTGTCAAGAGTTAATCTCAAGCAACTAAGCATATATCAAAACAGCATAGTTCAGATATTTATTCACTTCTTTATTTTGTTTAGGCGTTATATTTCTATCTATCTTATATTGCTTGTTGAGAGGTTTAGTAGCTTGATACGACCGATAGTACTATTAATAAGTTTATTTTTTTTTTAAAAAACAGAACATTTAGATCAAACCATGGTCAAGTACTTATTAAGGTTCTCATTATTTTTCATGTTGACGTAATCTATGGAATAAGTTGACCAGTTTTCTTGTAGCACGCTTTTAAATATAATCCTATAACCCAGTTTTTTTTTGGCGCCATACAATTATTATTTTTTCCGGTATTTCCGAAGCAATAACCGTGAGGATATAGTACAGCACGTTACCTATTAGGTTACTGTATTAGCGGCATTGATTCTACATACCTAATTTTAAACGCAACTTATAAAGGAACTGTTAAGTAATCATAACATTGGGCTAAATATATGACCATCACCGCGATGCTCATGTTCAACCAATTATTATTAGTGGTCCATACAAAAAAATGAAACATGTAATACCAAGAACTAATATATTTGTTGCGTAATTATAACGTAATACAGAAATATAACACACTTGTAGCATTTCTATAGTATTATTATTAGTATGAACAAAGAACTTGCACTTTGACATACAAATCTGTTCTCTTACCAGTTTTCTTCGTAGCTGAGCGACTAAAGGTCAACACCGGCACCATATGCAGTCGTACTTCTGCCCTCCTGAATGCTAGAC